TCTCTGGTTGTCTGGCTGTCTCTGTGAGACCTGGAACAAGTACTTGAAGGGAGAAGTCCTGATCACTGCCAAGACAAGTTCTTGTAATACCCAAAGCAAAAAAGACAACATGCCCCCCGCCCACCCCCACACACACAATGATCGGTAAACAAGATCAACAGCATAGGTTGCAGGTCCTGCCCTTTTTGCACCCCTCCTGCTGAAGTGCCCAAGGCAGCCACCTCCTCTGCCTACTCTTACCTACCCCCTGGCCCAGCCCTGGTCCCGACCTGCCCTTCTTGCATCCCCTCCTGCTAAAGGGACCAAAGGCAGCTGCCCCCTCTGCCTACTATTACTTACCCCTCGGCCCGGCTTCGGTCCTGATCTGCCCTTTTTAACCTGCTCATGCTGAAGCTCCCAAAGCGACCACCTCCTCGCCCTACTTTTACCTATCCCTCAGCCCGCCTCTGATCTGCTCTTTTTGCACTCCCTCGTGCTGAAGGGACCAAAAGGCAGCCACCTCCTCTACCTACTATTACCTACCCCTCGGCCCGGCCTTGGTTCTGATCTGAGCTTTTTTAACCCATCATGCTAAAGCACCCAAGGCAGCTGCCTCCTCTGCCTACTATTACCTACTCTTGCACCTGGGCCCGGCCCTGGCACAGCAAAACGTGCAAAAACAACAACAAAAATGGCTTTTTAGTTCTGAAATAATAATATGGAATGTATGCGCACTGATTGGGTCACACCATCATACTGCCAAACTAGTTCAGCCAGTACGGGGCAAGACATCCTTGAAGGACCCCTTTTATTGCCCCCCTCGGGTCTTTGGTTTGCGCACATGCCATATCACGAACAGACATTTTCACTTTTCGCCGTTCAGATTTTTTTTTTCAGCACACAGGAGATTTCTGAATACCTAAGATACCACCTGCAGCCCTGAAGCTATAAGCAATTTTTCAAAGCCTCCAGCAGCAGCGTTTGACTTTTTGTGTGACAAGTGGAATGTAAAAGTGACAGAGTAGATATGCTGCCTTACTAACCAAAGCGACCAATCAGAATCCATCTTGTATTTCTATAATGAATTTCCTTAAGCTCAATCCTGCTTCTAATAACTAGATCCATCTAGGAGGTTTGTAAACTGAAGATGCCCATAGGATGGACTTCCTCAATGCGCTGACACCATTTCACTCAGCCTTGTGAATATGCATTTCCTGGTGTCACCACCTTTACAGAGCCCGCCTTCTAAACTACAACTCAGCATTTGAACAATGTAACATCATTATTGCTCGCTGGAAGCAATGCAGATGGGATACGCAGTCTTGAGAAATGGAGATTGCATCACATCAAGCAGCAGGGAAAGAGACGCAAAGCACACTGGGGGATCCAGGAAGTTGTTGCAAGTGATGAGCAGATGGAAGGCAGCGCTCACTACATAAAAGGGATTTCTTCAAGTAATCTTTGAATGTATTCCTATTACAATGCTGGTGTTGTAACACAATATGCTGGGACTTGACAACTCCTTTAAGTTAAATATAATATTAACAAAAATGATACAAAAAAAAATTAGCAAAAAAGGGTTAAGAATACAAACTGCTTTCACGGCAACCTATACAGATCCCTTAAAGATAAGTACATAGAGGGCAATTTACCAAGACTGGAACAGGGAATATCCAGAGCAGATGCTCTTGGCAACCAATCAGCTGCTTCAGATTCCCTCTCCTCCACTTTTAGTAACTTTCCCCCGCCATAGACTTTCTCCTATAGCCCAAATACTACTACTGCTGCCCAGACGTACCGTCCTGTATCCTAGAGCAGGCTGCAAGAACTTTCTTCTAGGTGTGCCCTATGGAAACCACAGTTTCCGCAAACAAAATGGCTGCCCCCAGGCTAGCACCTCGATCCTCCTGTTTTCGGCACCTTGCCGTCCCTGGTTAATAATAGATTTTATACACATTGATAATGACACACAGGGGCGGTGCTGATTCTTGGAAAGGGAATCTGCAGGTTGCATGTGGTGAAGGGGGACGTGTCTTGGCGTGTGTAACTTGTACTTTTTCAAGGAATGTGTCTTCCTTTGCTGACATTCCTCCCAGTGTGCCTGTACTTGCCTTATACCTTGGCCCAGTGTGATTGGCCCTCTGGTGACGTTGGTGGGGTGTGGCTTCCTCTCCGGATTTATGACGGTTTAATGATTAAGAGCCTGACAACGGAATGTGATTGAACCAACAGGAGCTGCACCCACTACCTGGCCTGCAACAGATCTTACCGGACATGCTCATGTCACCAGCAGGGACATCGGAACTGTTGGCGATGGTTCTACGCTGGTCCTGATTAAATAACGAGTCAGGGATCCCCGGGCCTGGACCTTTAACAGGTATGAAGACTGGGTGCAGCACGCTGTTAGAATGATCTGCTGTTACCTGTGCTTTAGAGGAAGGAGCAGAGTCCTCCAGCAGAGCAGAGTATTCCAGGAGAGGAGAGTGATAGAGGAAGGAGCAGAGTCCTCCAGCAGAGCAGAGAATTCCAGGAGAGGAGAGTTATAGAGGAAGGAGCAGAGGCCTCCAGCAGAGCAGAGTATTCCAGGAGAGGAGAGTGATAGAGGAAGGAGCAGAGTCCTCCAGCAGAGCAGAGAATTCCAGGAGAGGAGAGTTATAGAGGAAGGAGCAGAGGCCTCCAGCAGAGCAGAGTATTCCAGGAGAGGAGAGTGATAGAGGAAGGAGCAGAGTCCTCCAGCAGAGCAGAGAATTCCAGGAGAGGAGAGTTATAGAGGAAGGAGCAGAGGCCTCCAGCAGAGCAGAGTATTCCAGGAGAGGAGAGTGATAGAGGAAGGAGCAGAGTCCTCCAGCAGAGCAGAGAATTCCAGGAGAGGAGAGTTATAGAGGAAGGAGCAGAGGCCTCCAGCAGAGCAGAGTATTCCAGGAGAGGAGAGTGATAGAGGAAGGAGCAGAGTCCTCCAGCAGAGCAGAGAATTCCAGGAGAGGAGAGTTATAGAGGAAGGAGCAGAGGCCTCCAGCAGAGCAGAGTATTCCAGGAGAGGAGAGTGATAGAGGAAGGAGCAGAGTCCTCCAGCAGAGCAGAGAATTCCAGGAGAGGAGAGTTATAGAGGAAGGAGCAGAGGCCTCCAGCAGAGCAGAGTATTCCAGGAGAGGAGAGTGATAGAGGAAGGAGCAGAGTCCTCCAGCAGAGCAGAGAATTCCAGGAGAGGAGAGTTATAGAGGAAGGAGCAGAGGCCTCCAGCAGAGCAGAGTATTCCAGGAGAGGAGAGTGATAGAGGAAGGAGCAGAGTCCTCCAGCAGAGCAGAGAATTCCAGGAGAGGAGAGTTATAGAGGAAGGAGCAGAGGCCTCCAGCAGAGCAGAGTATTCCAGGAGAGGAGAGTGATAGAGGAAGGAGCAGAGTCCTCCAGCAGAGCAGAGAATTCCAGGAGAGGAGAGTTATAGAGGAAGGAGCAGAGTCCTCCAGCAGAGAAGAGTATTTCAGTATAGCACAGTCTGTACCGAAACACACTTTTTAGTGCATTTAAGTCTAACATCCTAAATGGAAGGAGCCGAGTCCTCCAGGAGAACAGAGAACTTCAGACAATAACACATTACAGCCCTCTAGAGTGAACTGCAAAGACGTAAATTGATTTTGCCGAGCTCTCCTTTCTAATGTTCTCCTTACTGAGCTGTTATACTGACCCGAAGGCTTCAATATTTTCCGAGCCACTGACTAGAAATGATAAATGTGCAGGTCCGAAATTCTGAATTCTAACTTGTCTAGCTGTGTACTTGGAGGCCAAGGCAGCCAGGCAACCATCATTTTCAGAAGGAAGTCAGCAACAATGACTGCTTGGGTATCCTTTATGTGTCCTTTAAGAGACAATGTATCATCTTTATTTATATTACATATACAGTGTGTGTGTGTGTGTGTGTGTGTGTGTGTGTGAGGCTTTTCAGGTTCGTTCAGGTTCGTTCAGGTTCGTCCAGGTTTTCCTATTTGTAGCTGGGATCTGGAGCTCTGGAGATTTCGTAGAGCTCTGGGTGGGATGAGAGCTCCAGTCCTGGGGGCCAATGTTGCCATGCTACGTCGCGGCATTGCCATGCACTGCCACAATATATATATATATATTTGCACACTTGGCTGCCGTTTAACCCTCCGAAGCTGGTGGGTCTTTGTGCCAACTTTGCCAGCTTAGCTTAATCCCCAAATTCCCCTCCCGGGACAGGCAGTGAATGTTCCGACAGCCCTTACTGTACCCAGCTGCATTCCTCATACGCTGCAGGAGCCGACGCTATAATATATACTGTATACACACGAGTCGTATACAAGTCAAGCATACTTAATAAGGCAATGGAAAGAAGTAATAATGCGCAGCAGCCCGTACAAGCCAATAATAGGGGATTGTGGATTGGCATGTAACAGTCAGAAAGCGTGCACGGCGGATGAACATTGCGGAACCTTCTTTATTCTGTGTTCTCGGTATTATTATCGTTCTTTCCCATCTATATAAAAAACTATTCGCGGTGCATCAGTTTACAGGCCAGTGATGCGGAAAACCATAAAAGCCGCTTTTCAGAGTCGCGAGCGAAACTGGCAAAGTAGAACGGGAGCGGTGAAGTGTTACGGAGGAAGAGGCTTGTGTTATATGTAATTATGTATATTTTTCCCAATGAAAGATAATTAAATGCATTTTTATACTTGAATTAGACTTACAATGCCTGCTCAGGCTGGCGGAATGAGAGAGAAGGAAGAAAGAGCGACTGATTAAAAAAAAAAGAAGCATAATATCATAAGTTCTGCACTTAGCTGGAGCCATCTTACTGTTCAGAGACAAGGGGGCGGAGTTGAGACTCCCCAGGGGACATGATTGTCCCCTCAGAGAATAGGAGTCACACTGTTCAGGGGGAAAGCCTTCATAAGTCATAGGAAGGAGATATGTTATAGAAAGAATGTGGGTATGGTCTCTGCTTGGAATCAAAGCTGGCATTTTTGTGACCGAGGTTCCCCTTTAATCTGAAGATTGTCATCTTTCAGGGGCAGATATGCCGTCTCCGACAGAAATCCTAAAGAAGGAGCTGGAGGAAGAGCTGAAGCTAAGCAGCGAGGATTTGAGAAGTCATGCCTGGTACCATGGGCCACTCTCCCGCCAGGTGAGTACAGCTCAGAATTGCCCTTTAAAGGTCTTTCCCTATTGGCAGTTGCACAGGGCACCTTCTCTGGGAGGGGCTTACATACAGCTGGCCATACAGGCTTCAAACTTTGCCAGCGGACAGTGTCTCTTTAATATAATGGGTGGTCTCACTGGCCGATATGGAGGGACGGTGTCTCTTTAATATAATGGGTGGTCTCAGTGGCTAATATGGAGGGACGGTGTCTCTTTAATATAATGGGTGGTCTCAGTGGCTAATATGGAGGGACAGTGTCTCTTTAATATAATGGATGGTCTCACTGGCCAATATGGAAGGACAGTGCCTCTATAGTATAAGTGGCATCGCCGGCCAATAAGGAGGTACAGTATCTCTTCAATATAATGGGTGGTCTCACTGGTCAATATGGAGGGACAGTGTCTCTTTAGTATAATGGGTCGTCTCACTGGTCAATAAGGAGGTACAGTATCTCTTTAATATAATGGGTGGTCTTACTGGCCAATATGGAGTGTCAGTGTCCCTATAACAGGTATTTTTACTATCCAAAATGGAGGGTCAGTGTCTCTGTAATATAATGGGTGGCCTCAGTGGTCAATATGGAAGGACAGCGTCTCAGTGGCTAATATGTAGTGACAGTGTATCTATAATATAAAGGGTGGTGTCACTTGCCCATATGGAAGAACATGTAGAGATAGGGATGGCAGATTCTCTCTCTATAGACTGACTATCATACAATATACTAAAGCTAGCCATTTTAAACATGATGAATGGAGGACTCCCCACTGTCGTCTATTGTATTCAGCAACCGCTGCTCCCATGGTTTTGATCCTTTGTCTGGACCTCCTTCTGGTACCGTCTGATCTCTTGATGTTTATTATCTTTCACAGGAGGCTGAGGGGCTCTTACAGAAAGATGGCGATTTTCTCATTCGTGACTCGCTCTCCTCCCCTGGTGACTACGTCCTAAGTTGTGTTAGCTCCAAGATGGTTCTGCACTTCAAGATCATTGCCGTTAGCTTGCGTCCTCGGCGAGGGATCGCACGTACCCTCTACCAGCTGGAGCAGGATCAGTTTGACAACATTCCCGCCCTTGTTCGATCCTACGTAGGAGATAAGAGGGCGGTGTCTGAATCCTCAATGGCAGTCATAGAGAATCCTGTCAACAGGAACCTTCCTCTAAGTTTGCCTCGGGAGAGGCAGGAGGCCCAGAAGGCAAACAAGGAAAACAGACGGAGTCTTCAGGTGACAGATAACAGCTTGCTCAGGTACAACCCCCAAAATGTACTTTAATTCCCAAGTTCAAAAAGCAGATAACAGTAAACTGATTCGGATCTTTTATACCCATGGCAATGTTCATTGTCCAAAATGACCCTCACACAGGGTCCTTTAATCAGAAAAGGTTCTTACTCAGTGCACCAGTCCTCATCCTACAATACAACTCCTCTACCACAATACACCTCTCACATACCTCCCTACACTTAGTGTAAGAATCCTAGTGGGCGGGCATAGTGCATGCTGTCAATAGGACTGACTGAAATGTGGCTTCTACAAGGTCAACAAGGAAATCTGACTTTATGTAGCAGATAACAGCTTGCTCTGGTACAAAAGCAATTCCCTTTAATTCAGTAGCTCAGAATGCACCCACTTCAAAATTTGCTATGCAATATACCCCTCACACCATGTTCTTCATCAGCAAACGTTTTTCCTCAATGCACCAGTCCTCAACTTACAGCTCTCAAAACACACCAATACCATTATGTTTAAATCCTCATGAGTGGGCATAGTGTGTCTTTTCCAAAAAGAAACCTCCCCCAAGGTCTGGTGCAGGAGAGGCTTCACTTTTCAAGGGAAAAAGGACATCATGTGGCAGATAACAGCTTGCTCAGGTACAAACTCATCAAGAAGTTTATTTGGTAGGTCAGATTAAGACTCAGACTTTGCATTCATTAAATGGATTCGGGTGTCCCACGATGAACCTCGTTATGTTCTTCACCTACAATGTACCCCTTGTAATGTCAACCACTCATGACAACTCATCTCACCTTCAGTGCACTCTTCACGTACACATCAATTCTTTTACATTTGACATTCCCTAATGTTCCAAAACCCTTCCTGGTCAACCAAACCTTTCCCATATTAGAGCCAAGCCATGTCCCCAAGGAGGCGGAGTTAGCAGTCAAAGATGACCATCAAGAAGACCTTCCTTGATGTCTCCTACCCACAGTACATCTCTATCATGTTGCCTTCATCATAATTCCTCATTTGCCAACATGTCAAGTCCTGCCAATAGTTGCTGCTAAACAATCAATCACATTCTCCTTTTGACGCACAATATTATCATTTCCAGTGCATTGTGAATATGATTAGTTGCTGTTGGGCTGCTGAGACAGTGTGAGGCTGTGTAGTGACGCTGACCCACCATGCTAATAATTGTCTCCCACAATGCACATTGTTGACCATTTCTTCCGACTCACTGCACTTAGCTCAAAAATTATTCTTGATTAAATACAGTTTTTTTTACTTGTATCCACCAGGACCAAAGACAGGTTTGGGAGCCAACCTGGCAATCTGGACATCTTGAAGGAAATACCGTTACAGAGTGCTCAGTCCGACAGCAACTTGCTCTCAGGTATATAGGAAAACAAGTGGATAGTGAAAACTGTTGATAGTAGGGCTACAGCTAATTACTATTTTCATAATCGATTAGTTGTCCGATTTTCAATTAATCGATTGGTTGTATAAAACAAAAAAATCACTCTCTCCCCAACTAATCGATAATTATAATCGTTGCCAGCTATTCTCATAATCGATTAGTTTTTGCAGCTCTAGTTGATAGTCCTTAATCTTAGCAATTTATTCCTTTTGAGTACATTTAAATGCAGCACAATTATCAGCTATGCCAATAATGACCTTTTGCCTTTATCTCTTTGATGGATCTCCCTACTTTGCGCTCTCCTGTCAGCTAAACTGCTTCTCTTTTTGAGGTATAAATAATGTGATCACGTCTCCTCCCCTCATTACCTCCCTTCTGGAATGACTTGATTATAGCACTCCATAGGCAAAGATGGAAATTGTTGCTTTTAGGTCATGTGGGAATCCATGGCACTGCCATTGGGATGCTGCCGACCACTTTTAAGGGGCTGGCACACTACACGGTCAGTGAAACGCACCTGTAGTAGGTGAGTCCGAAGTGGATCTTAGGCTGAGGATAAGGTGAAGATGTGGTCAGGCAGGCAGGGTCGGCAACAGTCTGTTAGCGAGGTTCCAGGAGAGTAATCAGGAGGCAGGCTGAGGTCTTGACACGATCGGGCAGCAAGGTACAAAATCGGCAGGCAGAAGAATGGTCAGGAAACAGGCAAGAGTCACGGTGTAAATCCAGCATAAACAGAGGCAGCTCACACAGGGAAGTAACCCAAATCAACAGGCTTAGAACACAGGAAGTGTCCGGTATTGAAAGCCTGAGATCATTGCAGATCTTCTACAGCTGGTTGGCAGGTGGAGCCAAAGTGTCCATAGGGAGAGTTGGCCAGTAGCAGAAACCAGGTCCTTCCAGTGGCTGAATGGCTAGGTCTGTAAACTTCCGCTCCAAAGACCCGGGTTCAAACCCCAAACAGAAGCTGATCTTTCAGGTACGTGACAGTCAGTGGGTGGTCAGACGTGTATTTGCCCCTATGAAGGGTTCATATTTATCTTCGGAGTTGGCAAAACAGACACCAAAAAGTCAAAGAAAACATTTTGGATGGCCTTACAAGTGGTTCATAATCCTACTATTGATACAGTAGAACAGTGAAGGATTTAGGTTGATCTGGCCTCCTAAACCTCCAACATTTCTCTTTCAGCTATCACAGCAGAAACATCAGGGTCTCCAGAGGACACATCCACTATCCCACTATCGCCTATTTTCCGAACAGGCAGCGACCCAGTCCTCAGATCCAAACTTCAATCAACCCAGCCTCTGGACTGCGATGGTAACAATGCCTTGAGGGGTTCGGACAGCCAGCTACACTCCAAGGCTCCACCCAAGCCCATACGGGCTCCTTCACTGCTGCTTCCAGACCCTCCTGATGGGATGGACACCTATTGTGAGTTGGTCCCTCGTGTCCCGGAGACCTCTCGGAGATATGTGGACACTTTGAAAGTTGAGGAACGGTGGAAGAACCGTGCCCGAGCCACAGAAACCACTTTTGGTTTCCTGGACTCAGACAAGTCCCCGGATGTGATCCAGTCAGGAAAGGGTCACTTTGAACTAGACAATTCTAAAAGCCCTAAACCACTCTACGCTGAGGTTGCCAAAGCAAAACTGGTCCACCGGGAGGTGGATAAATCTAGGACAGTTATTTCCGAAAGCAATAAACACAAACAGGTCCATTCACCGGAGGAAAGGCCTAAAGTAGAACATTCTAGAGCTGAACATCTTAGCCAACCCCATCATAAACCAAGACTTTCCAAGATGGACCATGTGATATTGGAGAATGCTGAATGTGAGGATGGTTTCATCAGGCCGCAGATTCAGACTGTAACGTCTTTCAATCCCAAAACCTTTCAATCTATACTACTGCCGCCAGAAAACAAGCCTCTGGAACCGCATGCTCTGCGCAAACTGAAAGAGATTGTTAGTCAAAGAGACTGCAGGGAGAGCGCCCTCCATATACTTCGTGAAGACTGCCAAGTAAGTAAAATCTATGTCTTCCTTTTAGAGCTGTCCATACACCACATGATGCTTCCCAAGTCCTAAAACTAACTTGATTAGCACCAGGGACAGCTGGAAAAATGCCTGTAAAGACTGGTCCAGTTACCGCCCACTTCTGTAATAAAGACCGGTCACTGCTGCTCTCTCTGCTTGTGCAGAGTGACTGGTCTTGTCTCCACCCCCTCTTGTAATAAAGACCGCTCACTGATGCTCTCTCTCCTTGTGCAGGGTGACTGGCCTTGTCTCAGGGTGACTGGCCTTGTCTCCACCCTCTGTTGTAATAAACTGCTGCAGGGTGACTGGTCTTCTCTCTGCCCCCTCCTGTAATAAAGCCTGGTCACTGCTGCTCTCTCTCCTTGTGCAGATTGACTGGTCTTGTCTCCGCCCCCCTCCTGTAATAAAGATTGATCGCTGCTGCTCCCTCTCATTATGCCGGGTGACTAGTCTTGTCTCCGCCCCCTCCTGTAATAAAGACCGGTCACTGCTGCTATCTCTCCTTGTGCAGGGTGACTGGTCTTGTCTCCACCTCCTCCTGTAATACAGACTGGTCACTGTTGCACTCTCTCCTTGCACAGGCGGGATGGTCATGTCTCTGCCCCCTCCTGTAATAAAGACCGGTCACTCCTTGTGCAGGGGGACTGGCCTTGTCTCAGTCCCCTCCTGTAATACAGACTGGTCACTGCTGCCCTCTCTCTCCTTGCATACGGTGGGTGGTCTTGTATACGGCCATCTTGTAGTTTTCTACAGGCTGTCTGTAGTGGCTGAAGCCCTCATTGGGAATGTTATAACACCCTCTAGCAAATATTTTTAAGTGAAACTCTTTGTTCAACTTTGACAGGAAATTCGTATCTGGGGGGTGACCAAGGAGCAGCAGAGAAGTATGGGGATGAAGTCAGGCCTGGAATTGCTTACATTACCCTACGGACAGCAGCTGAGACGGGATCTGCTGGAGAGGTCGGTAATAATTCCATGTGGACAAATGAATCACGTCTTCTTTTCCCCACTGAATTCAAGAATCAGGGAGGAATCTGAGCAGTAGAGTCATAGAGGCATGTTAATAAAAAGCAGCAGCTGAGTTTGCCACAATGCTCTTTCTTGCTGCTAATTTTAAACTTTTGTCTCCAGCTTGGAATGTCGCAATATACAAATTAAGTGTACCT